TCTCATCTGACAGAAGAATAAGATGACAGATTGATGAACAGATTGGTGAATGAAACAGGTGAGTGAGAGAAAGAAAGGACTCTAATGAGTGAATTTTCTTCATTTCTGGTGGTCAGCAGGGACTTGTTGTAATGATCTCATGCTGGGGAGGCAGTCTGGACTCATACAGGAGGTCTGTGTGTCCACCATGCTCAGTATATGCATGGGTGCCCATATATTGTCAAAGCCAATGTAGCCCTGAGCTCTGTGTTGCACGTGGGCAGAACTATAGTGCAACAACTGTCAGTGAAAACAGACTTAAATGATGAAAATTTTGAATTAAAAGAAAATAAAGTGGTTATATGGAAATCAAGCCCAGATTTGGTTAATGCCTGCCATATATATCAGTCCCACACATGCAGTGCAGACCTGTGTTTAAATCTGGCATCAACATGCAAACGATATCTGGATATCTATGGAAAAACAAGTGTTAATGTATTGTGTAAATACTTAAAAACACATTGTGATTAGATCTCATCTGGCTGTAAATGGCATCAGTACAGAATGACCCCATCATTAAGAGCAAATATGCCACCCAGCAAGTTGGAAGGCTGCATTACTTAGATCAATCTGACAAACGCTGCAAGCCGTAGCAGTAGCTATCAGGCTTTCCCTAGCAAAAGTTGATGAACATGAGCAGCACGTATCCATGGCATTGCTTTCTTTGACCTGCCAAGCCCAGCAGCCATTTAATGCAGAGGCCTGTGGACTGGATGTCCTTATCCTGCTAATAAATCTAGACACAGATCATATGAATTGAGGCCATCATGCCAAATTCTCCAAGTCAAGGAGCAGATTTTCATAGGCAAATAGCCTAAACGTCTTTCAGGTCTCTGACTGTGGATCATTATGGTTTAATTAGTGCTTTTACTTTGTCACAGCCTTATCTTTTCAGTGCAGACACATAATTAAAATATCTTGCTGTACTGTTGCTGCCGTATTTATCTTTGGTTGCGCCAAAGGTTTTACCAACAGACATGTTAAGTAACTAAGCGCCTTTACTCAAGCACAATTTTGAAGTATCCTTACTTTATTTTCTTCTACTTCATACTTTGACTTCACTACATTTTACAGGCAAATGTTGTACTTTTTACTTCTTTGTATTTATTTGAAAATGTTAGTTACTAGTTACTTTTCAGAATTTGATGAATAAGACAGAATACAGTTTAATCACAAGATTTTGTTGATTCCTGGTGGGACGCTCACAAGCTACATAGTCTCTCAGGTTTCACAGTAGTAAAATTCAGGTCAAGTCTTAAATGATTAAATTAGTGTTTGTCACCTTTTTATCCTCTGAGGGCCCATTATAGCCCAAACAGGCCCTGCCTCTGGTATGTGTCGTAGACTTGGTCAGAGCTCATGGTGTTTAACCAGCTGTCTTTTTTTCTTGTGCAGCAGCCAGCAGCAGGTCAGAGTAGGCTACCGACACTCCCAAGGAGGGAGGGGTAATCCAGTTTACCTGAGTAAATTGCTAAATGTTAAAAAATACATGTTGAGATTATACATGTAATGATTATCATCCTTTATTCCTTTATGCTATGCAAGACTCAGATAGATTATGCAGCAATCCCAGACCGATGGGTTTATTGTCTTTCAGTTGGACTTGTAGGTTCACTGATCTGACTGGGCAGCATTGGTCCATCACGATGTTTATGATGATCACTACACACATCATACTGTAACAGGTGTGTCTCCCCACATGTGACAGCAGTGGATGCAGTGGCTTAGTCTGTCAGTCACTAAGAGACAATAGTAGCCAATATATTCCCGTGTCGCCCTCAGGCTTTGTTTCATCACTGATTGCTGTATAGCTATTGGCCTCAGGATTTTCCATTTACAATAGACTGGCATTAACATGACTGCTGTGCACGTTACACCCATAAATACAGATGATGATATGAACTGGACTCTAAGATGAAGGGAAGAAAGGTGCAGAGTATTCATGAGAAATATACAAGAACAAGCGGAGCAACTGTAAGCAACTGTTAGTCCATATGTAGAGTACAGCAAAGGCCTGATTGTGCTGACTAAAGTGGGTTGGGGGTGAGGTGTGGTGGGGGTGGGGAGCCCCAGCTGTCTAGAGTCATAGCACATCACCACTGAGTGGGGCAGGTCAGATTTAGAGCTGCTGTTCATCTCGAGCGCTGCCTTCATTACCATGTAACTCAATCAAAGAGAAGCATGTAGAAGTGACTCCTGCGCAGCTTGTGAGGTGACAAATTATTCTGAACAAAGTGTCTTTTTAAGATTGTGTTTCAAGTTGTGTATTGTAGCCTCGTGCATACTGCATATTGCAAACCCTTGAACGGTGTCAAGTAGTATAATCTCAGATGTTTTTAACAGTACTGTATATCCAAAGAGTTATCCGAAGTGTACAATACACCGAACAGCTGAGTACTTAAGTTAAATTTATTTTTTCCTTTTTTGTTATAATGATAATTGATCCACCATCATTGGTTTATACCATCACTGAAGACAAATTCAGTGAGCAGGACTTCTCTGTGGCCACTTTACATTTTTATATGGTCAGTGTGATATAATGACTCATCAGGTGTTTCGTTTGTTGCATTAGTCAATCAGACATTTCTATCTTTTCATTTTTTGATTTTGATTTTTTTTTTTGGTTAATTTTTCAGAAAATGTAGACAAAATTGATATTACAGACTATAAAATTGCATTTACCCTGACAGAGGATTTTGTCTATACAGTATCTGGAGTGGCATATGTTGTGATAAAGTACATTTTCTGGAATTTCAGTTGTGAATTTTACATCTATAAATTAATAAGTAGAGGGTGATATTGACAAAGTTAGTTAAAACAAATACATCCCTATATATAGTGTCTGTGTGTGTGGTTGTTTGTCTGCATGTGAGCCCTGTGATAGACTTGCAACCTGTCCAGGGTGTAGCCCGCCTCTCGCCAGATGCTGGCTGGGGTTGGCTCCAGCACCCCCCACAACCCCGTTCAGACTAAGTGGTATAGATAATGGATGGATGGATGGATGGACATCCCTATATATATAAAACAATATAAAGTGGGACCACTACTGAAGCTTTTGAAACACTTAAAACAATTTGTATCTGATTATTATGAAAACTGTCAAATAGAAAAACTTTCTGTTCATTTTATTAAGCTACAACAATCAAATAATAAATGCAAATTTAGTGACTAAATTGTACGGCAGCTTTAAAGCCAAATACCACATAATAGTGAATATTTTATCACAATATCCTATTATCTTAATTTAGTGTCCAGATCCGTGTGTGTGTGTTCAGATAATACTGTACTACACTGCTATAGGCTGTCAATCTTTTACAGATATCACTGTAGCCAGTTTAATGATATACAAACCAATGACACAATAACACAGTTTACATGTATGGGCTGAGGTTGGGTGAGGAGGGGAGGGGAGTTGTGAGATGAACAGCTAGTGATTTTCTCCTCAGTGTTGGACCTCAGGAAGTGTAAGGTCCCCAAGCAGCGCTGTCAGCTTCCCCTCACCGACACAGCTCAATCAAATCAATAGAAATGAGACAGCTAGTGTGCCGGAGGACGGCTGTCAAGCTGCTCCTGACCCAACCAGTGTGTCTCCTCCTTCACACTTATGCTTCTCTGTTTTTTTTCTTCTGAGGTCTCAGCTCTGGTCTTCTTTGGCCTGAAATGAGGAAAGAAACACCAGCTGGCACAATAGAGCCAAGAGGGAAAGTTACTTGAATTTTTAAACTTAATATGTAACACCTGGGTTTAACTGGTTTTTAAAACTTAGCTCATTTCATGTGCCCAAGTGCTCATAAAGGAAACATAATACAAAGAGTAGTCAGTGCTGTACATTTAGACCATCTGAGGTAAAAAAAAAAAATTCTCACTTAAAATCCATATATAGTTTTCTTTTGTTGAGAACATGGCAGAAATGGCAGAAACAGCGTCGGAATATATCGTACTAATGTAGAAATTCCTACTTCTTGGGAACATCGACCAATCAATCAATACGGATTGATCGTGTAAGCATTTTTAACAATTAATTAATTATTTTTAAATTGTTATGCAACAAAAGTCAGAAGACTGAAAAATGCCCAACACCATTTCCCAGAAGCTACTGTGATATCATCATGCTTTGTTTGACCAACAGTCTGACACCCAAAGATATTCAGTTTGCGTATAAAAAACATAGAATGATTATTGTTATATATGATTTTTATTTATTGATTAACCAGCTATTCTAAAAAAAAAAGAAATTAGTGAAGAATGCCCATCACCAGAGGCCATGGGTGCATCCTTAAATTGTTTGTTGTGTTCAACCAGATGTGCAAATGGCAAAAACAATCAAATAAAGACTTAAATTTCAGAGACGGGAGCCAGTAAATGTTTGGTATTTTTGCCTTAAAAAAATAATCAATTACCACATTTATAGTTGCACATTTCATTCGTCAAATTAATCAGCCAGTCATTACACGTATCAAATAATCCAGCGCCCCTAAATTACAGTGTTAAATGAGGTTATTTAGACATTCTGTTATTATTATACTAACATTCTGTTAGTATTCTTACAGTATTACATAGCCTGTCACGTTAGCTACATGGTTGCCGAACCATAAAATCCTACATTTTGTATGTGATACTATGTGGTGTTATCTCTGCGTGTGAAATGAAAGTGAAAAGGAGCGGCTGAAGTGGGATAAAGGTGCTCCCAACAGCTGGAACACAAGCCGGTTTGTTTTATGAGGTGACTGCAGGACGTCTGGCTGTGGCGCTTAATAAGTGGCAGTCTCTCCGCCCCAGCCCTCATTCTCAGTCCTCACACCTTTCCACCCTCCCCTACACCCTCAGTCCTGAGGGGACTGACCGGCTCTTCCTATGGCATCCGTTCGCTGTGCTCCCAAGTGATAGCGTGTGTACCACATTACATCTTTGCGCTGCCAACCTCACATACTGAGATAATGTGTATTTCTTCATTTTTGCAGGCCAACCCTCCCCCCATCATTGTCAACGCAGACTCTCTAGATGCAGGCCCTTATGTAAGTATCTGTTCTCTCTCTCTCTGTGCAGTCTATAGCTCTCTCATTCACACTCCCTCTGTGTCTGTGCATGAGCATGCTTGTGCGTGTGTGGATAAAAAAGGCCTCCTCCTGGTAGCAACATGCTGTTTGCCATGTGGACCGACATCCATTATCCTATTGACCTGTTTGTTTGTGAGGCATGTGCATTCTGCAGTTGCACATTTAGTGTCACAAGTGTATATGCAGTTTAAGAAAGCATTCTGAAATCAGAACTTCATAGGAGCACAAACTGGTGAATGTATCTTCTCTATGTTCTGTCACTAATCTCTCCATGGTCCTCATGTTCACTCTGCACATAAGTCTACTCTTTATTGATAAAGGAATTAACTGACTTATTTGCATGCTGCAGCTTTTTCTTACTATGTCTTTAGAAAGTGGCATAATTCAGGTTCAGTCATGTAACTAACTGTTTTTTATTTTGACAGGTAAATGGCAGTGATGGGATGTATAAATATGAAGAAATCATTTTAGAGAGAGTGAGTTTTTACATCTTGTTAAAATTTTTTTACACAATTTAAACATTCCTCTTTAATTTATTTACTGCATGATGGATGGATTTCTCCCCACTAGGTGGTAGCAAGCAGCTCAGTCTTAAGTCACTGAGTCTAAAGAACATGAAAACCACAGAAAACTCTTAACTTCTGTACATTTATATGAGAATCACATGAGATACTGAAGCTGTAGCTGTTACATCACTGCAGGATCAATGTCTAATGTGTGCTGTGTCATGTGAGTATGAGAATAACGCCACTGAGGCATAGCTTTTTACATAATCCTGATGCACATGTCATCAGCAGACGGCAGAAGTGTGAAGAGCTCAAAAAAAAATCAGCAGGCACCACTGCACTTGTCAGCGGTGGTTCAGCTTGTAGTGGCAGGCTATATGTTTTTGCTCTCATTATTCCACCCACATATAGATGCATCTTCGAACCCATTATAGATGCACAGTATCTCTCTGGCCCTTCCACTCTTAAGTGGCATTTCTGCATGCGGAAAGCTTAAATAACCTAACCAAGCTGCACTTTAAAAGGTCTGTGGGTGTGTAACATTTGGTTCTAAGGCCCAGTGTACTCCTCTCAGCTCCAGAGCAGCACACTGGGAGGCCTCAGCCTCCTCTGTCCTAATTTGTTGCGACTGTTGCTCATTAATTATAGAAAATAATAAAGTGAAGTCTTTTCTCAGCTGTCGTATTTGCTGCCTGTCTCTGTGGCCATGTCTGTCAAATGCAGCTTTGCGCCTGGACCCACTGGATCCAAATAGATCCTTTGTCATTTCAGGGACAGGAGGTGGTAGAGTTTGTTTCCTGCAGAGAGTGACAAGATCTGTATCACACAATAGAAATTATGGTTTTCGTCTCATCTTCACTTTAGATCGAAAGCCCACTTTTCTGTGACACAGGGCATTTTTGACACCGATGCTTCTCTGTACGTTGATGGAATAAGTGTGACATTTTGAATGAAGTGCCCTCTTCTATTGGAATACATGGCATTGTCATCTGTCACATGCAAGGATCCACACACTTATCCACAAAAAAGAACATCAGAAGTGCCTGGAAAAATGCGTGGAGCAGTTTGTGTTATTTATTATTTTATTATTAAAAAGCCAATCCTAACCTGTGTGCAGGGGAACTCTGGCCTGGGTTTTAGCATTGCTGGAGGAATAGACAATCCCCACATTCCTGATGATCCGGGGATCTTCATCACCAAGATTATCCCTGGAGGAGCAGCTGCTATGGATGGACGGCTGGGGTAAGTTCTCTTCCTCACCATGTGACCCTCCTCCTCTTGCTCCTCACCTTGTTCTTTCCATCTACTCTTTCCAAGCTCCCCTGCACCTGCTTTACTCCCTCTACTCTAACCTCTTTTTAACGCTCCTCACCCTCATGTCCCACCAGGCAGTGCTGTGTGGGTGGTAGCTCTCTGCCCCCAGGCTCTGTGTGTTTCCTCACAGCTGTGGTTCACTGAAAAACCAAAGTCTGAAACATATAAACATTTTTACATCGAGTGCTTTTTTTTTATGTGCTTTGGAAGTTTCTGATTCTGATGCATTCCACTGCTGTTGATTGACAAGCTGGTGTGTACAATATACTGTATAGTAAAACTTTTCCCTCCATAGGGTTAACGACTGTGTGCTGCGTGTCAATGACGTGGATGTATCTGAAGTGGTACACAGCCGGGCGGTGGAAGCCCTGAAGGAGGCGGGGCCTGTGGTGCGGCTGCTGGTCCGACGGAGGCAGGCCCCGCCTGAGACGATTCTGGAGGTCAATCTGCTGAAAGGGCCCAAAGGTCAGACACACACGACACACTTTGATGCAAATATACAAGTTTACCGTCACGCATTCTTATTGCATATAAGAATGCAGTAATGCTGAATGACTACTACACAGTTTTTAGATTCATTAATGATACATTTATAGATATAGGTGTGGGGTTAACTTACTTCTTCAGGATAATTGGGCATTAAAGCTGATAATATAGACATAGACTACAGTTGTAATGCTTTATTTGCTAATGACTGAACTATTCACCATAGAGGAAGCAACTAGAGACGTATCTAAGCATATATAAAAATCACAGTAGATATACTGACTATCTGACTGTGTGTACTACTTAACCAGGACTGGGATTTAGCATCGCTGGAGGGATTGGGAACCAGCATATCCCAGGAGACAACAGCATCTATATTACCAAGATTATAGAAGGAGGAGCTGCCCAAAAAGATGGACGTCTGCAGACTGGAGACCGCCTGTTAGCTGTATGAACCTCTATCTGACTCAGACTCAGTGTTCACTTTTGGTGTTTTTGTATTTTACTGATGAGTTAAACATGAATGCAACAATAGTTGTTAGTACTGATTACAAACAGCTATTGCTTCATCTGGGAAGGTATGTTCTCTCTGTGCCCCATTCTGTCATTTTGAGCTAAATAAGACACACGACACACATTTATGACTTTGTGCATGATGAGTATTTAGCAATTGGGCAATGATATTGGACAATACAAAAGGCTGGGCATCAGCTGGGCACGAGAGAGAGATTTATTTTTTTTACACATGTTTAAAAGTGCTATGTGTCAAATCAAATAATTAACCTCTACATAAAATTGTATTTACCCTTATCACTGAACTTTCATCATTACATATGCATTTATAGACATGCTATATAGCATTCACCCTTTCAGTGCACGTGATCATAGTGAAGCACAAGTTACAAATCTCATTAACGCTTGAAAATATATGAAAAACATATTGCATGCTGGACACTCCACTGTCATCGTGAGAGTCAACAGAGAAGAGACAAGCTGTTACTCTTTGGAGAAATAAAAAGTTGTTTTCAAGTTCCTCGATCAGCCATAACATTATGACCACCTGCCTAATACTGTGTACACAGGAGTCAGTGCAGCAGTTGATCGGCACTCGTGTCACTCTGCAGCTCACTGTGCATCTTCTGTGATTCTGTTTGCTTCCATAGTTCTACTGTCAGGAAGAGCACAGATGTGTCGACCATTCAGTGAAAAACTTCTCTCAAAGGAGTGAAAACTGTGGTCGTAGGGACAAGTTAGAGATCATTTTTAGGACAGCCTCCCCACTCTAGGTGTGATATCACCTCTATAGCCACTGAATGTTTCTCTTCATAGAGACCAATGTGCAGTATTTTTCATTTTCAACCAGTTTAACTAAACAAAATAGAATCTTTTGAAAAGGATGAATTTAAAAGTTTAATCTACAATAGATCAACCTCATCATCAGTGAGCCTTTGGCGTCCATCACCCTGTCACAGGTTCACTGTTTGTCCTTCCTTAGACTCTGGTAGGTACTGTGAGGCGTGTTCTTTTATTTTGAAAAGAGAGGTGCGTAAAATAAAAATCACCCTAACAGTACTGACCACCGCAGACTGGGAACACCCAGTTTTGGAGGATGCTCTGACCCAGTCGTCAGCCATCACTCAGTTTGGACCTTGTCAAAGTCACTCAGATCCTTATGCTTGTCTGCTTGCCCTGCTTCCAACACATCAACTTCTCAAGAACTGAATGTTCACTTGCTGCCTAATATACACAACACACTGACAGGTGCCACTGTAACAAGATATATAATGTTATTCCCTTCACCGGTCAGTGCTCATAATGCTATGGCTGATTGGTGTATTTACAAAGAAAAGAATTTTGAGCACTGTGTCTTACATTAATAAAAGGCATATAGATTGAAAGGACTGCTTGAGAGAGGTTTGGTGGGCCTACTGCATATCTAATATAAAGTATATTAATTTAGACATATATAGAAATATAAATGTTTTATCAAGTGAATATGTCTTATTATGATGATCAGGATCCAGTCCATTTTCAGTTTTCAACACTTCTCAGTTCACATATGGTATACTGTATCCGTTACTTTGTTCTGCAATTCAGTGAGCACATACCTTCAAAGTAGCCGAAGCTGTTCATAAACATAAAAACAAACTTGAAACTCAGAGCATCTTTCAAACCTCTACCTACTGCTTTTGACCTCTCGACACTGCACAACACACCAACCTTTCACTCTGATGTGGCAATGCACTGAAATTTCATAATAGCTTCAAGCTATGATTCATTATTGTGTTGGCTGGTGTGATGGCTGCTGTGATGTGTGATGCTGTCACAGTGCAGTGAAGACACAAGGTGTTCAGGTGTTTATACAATAATCCATTCTCCTCTTTTTTCTTGACAATCATCCCATTCAGGTGAACAACATTGTGCTGCAGGACGTGCGTCATGAGGAGGCGGTGGCTGCGCTAAAGAACACCTCTGATATGGTTTACCTGAAGGTGGCCAAGCCAGGTCCTGTGCATCTCAATGACATGTATGCCCCTCCGGACTACTCCAGCAGTACGTATCTATGTCTTCCTGTTGTTCTAGTTGTCCTTATTTTGCAAATACTGTTCATACACGTCCAAGTCATAAACTACATTTTATATTAGCTAGCCATCAGCAGCCAGCACCAAAACGGGAACAGGTTTATTTATATATAATGTATGACAAAAGGTAAAGACTGATTTATAAGTCAAGGGCCATGTTAATGCACTTTGGACAGGGAATCATCTTTTCAGCTTTATCAAAGATGTTTCAGTGGGTCTGCATGAATTTTTGTGTTGGATCACTGTTCTCTCCCCAAAACTGCTATGCCCAGACACCCACATGGTGAATGTAGCGAATGCTTGCACACACACACACACACACACACACACACACACACACTCCTTCCCACAGCAACAACAAGCGCAGTTCTCTGCCTCCTACTGAGTGTGGACGATTTCTCACATCCCACCTGCTCATGAGAGCCCACGATCTTGAGCTGCAGCATCTCAAATTTCCACAGAACAGTGATTTAGTATTAGGAGAGCTATTGAAGGCTTTTTGTATGTTCTAAATGTTTGCAGTTGTCTGGGTTTAAGTGTGTCTTTAATGCATGCTTAACCCCACTCTGACAGTATAACTGGTGGTCAGCTGATCTGGATTTGAAACACTTGTTTTATCACGCTTTGCGGTCTCCATCAAGAATGTAAATTCAGGGAAGAGAGGCGTTATTATGCCTGTGATGAGTTTAGGTGTTTAGGTGGTTTGTTCCCAGTTTTTCCTTTTAGGTGGCAATGAGATTGGCAGATTTAAAACATGAGGTGTAGATTACTGAAACATCTTTGTTCGTTAGTCAGTGCTAATTGACTGTTATGCACAGACATAGAATACAGGCAAGAGATGATTTAGTGTGTATAAAAAGCCTTTCCTAAATGCTACATTCTTTAATGGAAGATTCTGGTTTTATGCAACCTGGGTCTTATTTTTGTAGTTTTGGCCACCAGTTCTATTGCTAATAATATTATCACTAGGTGGGAACATAGAAGATGCTAAAAAGAAGATAGATGGGGTAGGAAACACAAGCAATCTGATGATCCAACAGTTTAAGAAGCACAGACTGATCAAACTTTTTTGTAAGAGATATTAAATTATTACCCACATTTTCAGGCATAAACATTTACAGCCTGCACACTGACTTTTCGGGTTCACCTACATGTTGACCTCCTGTACATGTACGTACAGTTTTCCTCTACACTAAGACTATAATTGATATTTTGAATGAACTAATTGTAGTTTTTTTCTGTACTTCAAAAAAGTGATTTATATAATCTGGAAAAACTGTTGCCTCATGTACGGTTTATGTGATCATTTGATGTGATGTGATGTTTATGTGATGCTTGTTTTTCTTTCACCTGACTTGGTTTTTGCACTGTCACTGCATTACCACATCTCAGCAGCTACTTTGGTAGCTATGATGGTATCATAACAGTCTTACATAACAGAATTATGGCCCAAACATTTAAAATAAGGCCTAAGTTATCAGAAATATTTATATATCCAATAATTCTTTACTGTAAGATAATAAATAAGGTGTACTATAAAAAGACTGACTCTAGAACCATGCTTTCAGCTCTATGAGGCTGTTTTTAGGCACAGTTATGTTTTGAGCTAAATGCTAATGTCAGCATGCTAACATGCTCAGTGGTGATACTGAAATGCTGTTGTTAAGCAGGTATACAACTGTATATTTATTTTGTTTTTATGTTGTGCACATTGGGGGTCATTGAGCTGGAGTCAAATTCCTTGTATTCTTAAAATACTTGGCAATAAAGTTTATGCTTATGCTTATAATATATACCATGCTCACCAAGTTAGTTCAGCATGCTATTATGCAGACATTTGCTAATTTAGCATTAAATGCATGAGGCCATTACAAGAAGTAACTGACAAACTGAACTTTCGACCTGCTGGTGGGATTAGAGGATCATCAAACTAAATAGGATTCAACCTGTGGGAGCCATAATTCTCTTTATAGAATTTCAAGGCAACCTAACCTTTCAGTCTGAAATAAAGTGGTGGACTAATGGATACCATTATTTGGTCCTAGTGTAGTGATGTGGTCAGACTTATGCAGTCTTCCTATTGCACCTCTGTTGTAATCATTCTTTCTTTCCCCCTACTGGTCTGGCCCTCCCTCCAGCCTTCCCCACCATGGTGGACAACCACGTCAGCCACAACTACATGGGGGCAATGGAGCCCAAGCCAGTATACCCACCGTCCCAGGTTACCCCGTCCAGGTACTCGCCAGTTCCCCGCCACATGCTGGGGGAGGAAGACTTCACAAGGTAGGTTTCAGACCGGTTCATCCATGAATGATTCTCCGCCCATACATTACTCATACAGACTATATGAGTGTAGGTTTGAACAGTCGTAGCACATTGTGGATATCAGCTAAAGGGCTTCTTGCATTTTCTACTGTTGTAGCCGAAAGTGTAGAAACATGGCTGTAGAGCTAAATTGTATAAGATTAAATGATTCCATTTTTGAATCTGTTATTTTTATTTTTGCATGGGTTTCTCTTTGTTTTTAGTAGCCTCAATTTTGTTGTTGTTTTATAGGTGTTGTTTGAAGATATTTGTATGTACAGTAGTTTAAGCTTCTCCCATGAAGTGTTTGATGAAGCCAAAAACATGGTTTGCTTACATTGTGGTGTGGACATTTTGGTGCATACTGTATTATAGCTGGACATTGTGTGGTGGCTATGTGTAGAGAGAGGCCTCTTGTCACTTCTTGTATTTGCTATGACTGAGGTTTAACATTTGACCTCCTATTCAAGTATTGGATCTGAGGTAGCATTCATAGGGGCTTGATTGGAGTTTTCCACAAGGCCTTGAGTCATCATAACCCACAGCTCTGGGGTGGAAGGCTGTACTCCCTCTGTGTGCGTGTGTGTGTGTGTCTGTGTGCGTGTGTGCATGCATTTATGTGTCTGAGTGTTGTGGAGTGAATGTGTTACTGGATGAATGTTAGTTGTGTGGTCCTGTAATGTCCTTGTATGTGCATGTGTTACATCTTTGTTGGTATGTGTGCATTATTTGTGTCCTACACTTGTCCCATTCACTGTGATTCCTGTACCCCACAGCAGGGCTGAACCTATTTACAGTGTCATCCACAAACCTGGGGACAACAAGGTGCCCCAGGCTCACTACAGAGGCTTCTGTCCTTCCCCTGCTCCCTTGTGCCAAGGTCCTCTCCCCTTCTCTGGCAGGTACTAACATAGTCATCACACCTTGCTTAGCTAACCCTCCTGTCTATAGCTCAGCATTTGGATCTGGCATCATACAGGAGTAGGGCCAGAAGGAACGAAGGCCATCTGCCTCACCAGTACTACGTTGTGTCACATTTGTGTGCAAGTAACACAATGAAGCGGTGCAATAGGCACAAGAGAAAACGAGGAATGCAAGGGAAGGGGGTGGCGGGGAGATATTTGTGTTGACAGAGCAGGACTTTTTTTCACTTATTTAATCTGCTGGTACTTTAAGGATATTGCTGCTTTTCTGTTTGTATAACATGCTATTTGACTCATATGCAGCTCCTACTTCATTTTTTATGACTTCACATAAAATGTGTTGAAGAATTAATACTTTTCAAACAACAACAAATTGACTGCAAAGTAGAAATGAGAAAAAAAAGCTTATTATTTTTCCCCCTTTTGTATGTTTTCTTGGTTTTTGCTCTACTTTTCATATTTTAAAAGGTCTGCCTCTAGTCATTATTGTCCATCAGTTTTCTACTAATCTGCTCACATCCATAAGTATCAAACAATAGTGCCCTGTTCGTGGCAGTTTAAAAAGGAGTCATACCTGCTTTTCACAAACACATCTCCACAGGAGTACAGCCAAAAGGGCTTCACGCTCCCACAAGCTGCTCAGTTCCATCTGTCAGGAGGCATCGACAAAACTAAGCCTCAGTCTCAGGCCAAGCTACTTTCATTAGTGGTTACTGCTGAAGACAATTATATACATGATATTTATGGCAATGCTTGTTTTTTTTTAATGGTTGGCATCACTAAATGTGCAAAAGGCCTCCTGTTCGTTGATTTTGTTTTGCTTTGTGTCTGACTTACTTAGATTATACGTATCTACAGTCTTATCCTTCGTGCATCATCTCATGGATAAATGTCTTGATGTTTCTGTGTGTGAACCATTGCTTTTACATAATGTGTTTGTGTTAAATGTAGCCTACACTGTGTAACATATATGGCACACACTGTGTCGTGTTTTCCTGTGTGAGTGTAACTGGTAAAACACATTGGAAGCGTTTTTGGAAGCGTTTTCTACGCCCGTCTCACGCTGCAGATGGAATTCCACTATATCAAATGTGTCAATCCATGAGACATGTGTCTCCCATAGAACCCTCACGTTTTTTTACGCTTCATGTTTATTTTTGCCTCTCTGCTGCATTTAGTGAAGCATAATCTCCACAATCAGCTGTTTAAATCACACAAATCTTGTTGTTTTCTGTTTCTACTGGTATCTGTTATAACTGATCAGGCTGCTTGAGTTTCACTTTCATTTTCTCCTTTTGTAATAAGTCAGAGAAAATCAATAAAATCAATAAATCCGTAGGCTATATAAAAACGTGATTTCTTCATGATGAGCTTACATGAAAACTATTTTTGTCCACTACACTTGTCTTGTTGATCAGCCTGGAATAGACCTTTTGTCCCTCCACTGTCCTGCTGACCGAGAGACAGCTGTTCTGATGACTTTAAAGACACGGAACGTGACGCTCACGTCTTGCTTTCAGTGTGGATTGAATGGAATCATGCTTCAGTAGCGCTTATGTCTCACTTCCACTGTGTTGTATCAGTAAGAGATAAAAGGAAAGATTCTGGTTTTGTAACTAAAGGCAGGTTATGGTGGACAGGAGGATAAGAAGGTTTATTTGAGCTGGCCAACACAAATGTTCTGCTTTGCTTTGGAATGTTTGCCTGCTGCTTTATGTAGGTAAATATAAACACAAAGCCTTGCTGTTACCATAAATGTAATGGGGAATAAGAGCCTGATCCAGCCAACAGACCAGTAGCAGCAGACAGTCTCACAGCTGTCATGATTCGTCTGCATACTGGGAAAACCAGGCCATGCACTCAGGTCTTACCCAAACATCATCAATGCTGCCAACACCAATCATATACTGTACAGTGACATTCACTCATAATGTGCTGGCAAATACAAGTACACATGTATATACACATACTTCAACACAGACACATACCTGTGGGCAGTCTGCATACCAGACTTGTAAACTGAAAGACTCATAAATCCGTGGTGCAAATAGGAACAACTTAAGTACTGTGACCATGCATGCACTTGTTTGTCTTGCACCTGGACTGCAGCAACAGGTGAGTTAAAGATTAACTTTATGCCTCACAAACACAAAACCTTTGACTGGACAGCGCAAGAATTCAGTCGTCAATAACAAGGAAGGCCTTGACCTTTGCTAGCACTTTTAAAGGCTGCAAAAGCACGAAAGGGAGTTTAAAACAAAAGTAATCACAGCAGAATTACTCCTTTTAAGTGCTAATCATTTATTGCTCCGCTTTTAGTCACAATGAGAGGCATGAAATATCTTAAACTGTGTCTGACTTCAGCAGTGAATACATATTTCCCATGTCAAATTAAAGGAAAATAACAGGCCATGAAGAAAAGACAGCTACAGAAAATCTATGGCTGCAATTTAAATTCTGAAAAGGCAGTGGGAGATAAAGCAGCATTTTAATTTTATCTGTATATGTCTCCATACTTAAGTTGATGTGGATCCATTTGGGGAACGAGAGAGATAAAGTGCTGTGAGAGGTGGTGTCTATCTGTGGAAAATGGCGTCCATCTGCAGTGTCCACCATTAATCAGCCAAGCAAGGCCAATTACGGGCCAGA